TTTTTATTTGCACATTTACCTGAAGCAGCTTGAGTCAGTAACAACTAATGCGTCGACAAATTGCAGTTATACTTTTGGTTGTGCTTACCGCAGTCAATTTTGGCACAGCATCTAGGGCTAGTCAAAATCGCTTGTTGCAAATTGCCCGTGCTAATGATGACTTTGGCTATCAACTGCTGCACCGACTTGAAGTAAAAGAACACTCAAATAGAGGTGCCAATAGTGAACCTGAAAATCTGCTTATCTCCCCTTTCAGCATTAGCACCGTCTTGACCATGGTCATGGCCGGTGCTAAAGGGAACACCTTTAATGAGATCAAGAGTACTCTTGGGTAAATATTACAAAAATGACTAATTTTTTTTACAATATTTTATCTTTTTAGATTCAACATCGACATGACTGAAAGTCAACTGTACACTTCTTTCAGTACTCTCCTCCGACAGCTTAACAATTTTACCAGCAGTGCTAAAAGCACTCTCAGGTTGGCCAATGCAATCGCCCTGCAGAACGAGTACTCCCTTCTGCCCACCTATCTTCACATCGTGAAGAACCGCCTGATTGCAAACATCTTTTCAGTCAACTTTAAGGAGGAACCTGAGCAAGCAGTTGAGAAAATTAACCAGTGGGTCAATAGAAAGACCAGAGGCAAAATACCCAAAATTGTTGACGATCTATCTACTAACACCCGAATGGTGCTACTCAACGCACTCTATTTCAAAGGCACCTGGAAGACCCCTTTTAAAAAAGACTCTACTAAAGAAAATGCGTTTTCCTATGGTGAACAAAATAAGAAGAAAGTCAACGTGCCAATGATGCGGCAACGGTTTGATGAGCTCAATTACGCCAGTTTTTATGGGGGCGAGCTAGTAGAGTTGCCCTACAAAAATGACTCCTTCAGCATGCTGCTTTTTCTGCCTAGAACTATTGACGCTGACTCCGTCAGTTCGATCTTTTCTCACGCTCTCAAAACGCCCAACTTGTACACTAAGCTAAAAACCCGTGAAGTCATTCTGACGCTGCCTCGCTTTAAGATCAAGTCTTCTTTTGAACTAAAGCCTACGCTTCAAGGGATTGGAATTGAAACGGCATTTGAAGATGGCGCCGATTTCACTCGAATCGCTGAATCGAATGATGATGAAAATTTACAATTGTCCAACGTTCTTCACAAGGCTGTGGTGGAGGTCAATGAAGAAGGTGCTGAGGCAGCAGCAGTGACTGATGCTGAAATTGCTTTTTTTTCTGCTGGTCCTTCGTTGCCACCTATTCAAATGGACTTTAACCGATCTTTCCTTTTTGCCATCCGCTGCAATCGTCTGCAGCTGACACTTTTTGCTGGCATTGTCAATAAGCCCTAAAGTTAAAAAATCATTTCAAGTCAACAAATTACATTCATAAAGCTTTAATTTTTAAAATTGACTTTTTTTACTTTTACAAAGTTTGCAGGCTAGCAGCGGAATTTTATAAATGCTACCGATACTTCAAATTAATGTATTTCAACAAAAATAAAAAAGTAGCAACTGGTAACCGCTAGAGAACTTTAGCCGGCAATTGTTGTCAGTTCGAACTAGTGTCGAGCAGTTTGTATAAAAAGACGCTGTGATGAGTCATTAAAGTAACTTTAAAATCAGAAGCTTGAGTCTCTCGTCTTTCAACCAATCTACTAAAAGTTTCTTTTCATTTTCTCATTGAGCTCACCTCATGCAGTTTTAGCCAGGCCAAAATGTGCCATCTTTTTCCAGTAATTGTTTTGGCAATTATCGTCAATTCTCATTTTGTTGCTGCTACTTCAAAAACTACTCAACAAAATTTACTTAAAATTGCTGCCGCCAATGACGACTTTGGTTACCAGTTGCTGCATCAACTTGAGTTAAAAGAACGCTCAAATCGAGGTGCCAATGGTGACCCTGAAAATCTGTTCATCTCTCCCTTCAGCATTAGCACCGTCTTAACGATGGTTTTAGCCGGTGCCAATGAAGACACTTTTGAGCAGATCAAAAGTACACTTGGGCAAGAACTCAAAAATAGTTAAATTTTTATTTACTACATTTTACCTTTTCAGATTCAATACCGACATGACTGAGAGTCAGCTGTACACTTCTTTCAGAGTTCTCCTCCGCCAGCTAAACAATTTTTCCAGCAATGCGAATAACACCCTAGAGCTGGCTAATGCAATTGCACTGCAGAGCGAGTACTCCCTTCTGCCCAGCTATTTGCGCATCGTAAAGAACCGCTTGAAAGCTAAAATTTTTACAGTCAACTTTCAAAAGGAAGGCAAGCAAGCAGTTGAAAAA